ACAGTACACACACACACGCGCCACATGTCTCCTCTCAGTGAGAGGGAGGGGTAGGGGAAGGATAAGGGAGAAATGGATACCCTTAGCAAGATGGAGTCTGCGTCAGTCTGTTGCGCACATTTGCGACAAGCAGCAATACAGAGGTCAGTAGTATGTAATTCAGGGATCAGCAGTACCATAATGCAGTGTGCAAGGGTCAGGCGTATGTAGTGCACAGGGCAGCAGTAAGTAATGCAGAGTGCAGGGGTCAGTAGTATGCACTGTGAGCTCAGAGGTATGGAGGGCAGGGGTCAGCAGTAAATAATCCAGAGGGAAGGGGTCAGTAGTATGCAGTGAGCTCATGAGATGCCCCTGGTACCTTTTTCATAGGCTTTTTTGAGTTTGGGCAAGGACACAGGGGCCCCATGATCCCCTTTTGCCCGGGGGCCCCATGAGTTGTCAGTCCACCCCTGGTAGTATGCACGGTGAGCTCAGAGGTATGGAATGCAGAGTGCAGGGGTCAGTGGTATGCAATGCAGAAGTCGGTAGTCTTTGTCACACAGCGGATGTCATAGTCTGCTATGACAGCTCTGGCTTTGATCCTGCTCCAGGAGATCTGTGTCGCTTCGCTGTAGATGAGGTTACTGATTGGCTCTGTGCGGTCACCCTGTGCCCCCCCCCCCCCCCCCCCCCCCCCCCCCCCATACACATACATTGTACCGCTCTGCACTGCAAACCTGAGGAGGCGGCCCCTCCCCTACCGCTCTATGAACGAGTCCGGCACCACCCACACCTTTCTGCCGGTTACAAGTGACGATAGAGCAGATTGCTAGCTGATTGGAGCGCTTATCGCCATGGTGATGGCTTGTTGTAGTGTCCGCCAGTTCCGTTTTCACACTCACTGCGGGGAGAGCCAGGAGCCATGTCCCAGCCAGCCACCGCCATGAACCGCAAGAACCTGCAGAAACTGGCCGAGAGCCTCAGCAGATCCGCCAGACACTGTAATACCCGGAACCCTTCATCACCATCATCCCGGAGGAGTGTGCAGACACTGCTCGTCATTACTACCAATACTGGGGGGGGGGTTCCATCTGTATGTGGGGGCTATTCAGGGGCGGACTGACCATTTGGAAACTTGGGCACTGCCCGAGGGCCCAGGGTCAGTTGGGGGCCCGAAGAGATGTCCCTGGTACCTTTTTCATAGGCATTTTTGAATTTGGGCAAGGACACAGGGGCCCCATGATCCTCTATTGCCCGGGGGCCCCATGAATTGTCAGTCCGCCCCTGGTGGGGGCTATTATATTAATATTGGGGGGATTGAATCTGTCATTAGTTCTATGATGAGCGGAGGTGTAATATGATGAGGCTGCTGGTATTTGTAGTTCAGTATTAGTAGATTCATCGAAGGTTGTCTTTGTTAGAGGAATATGTCTTCTTCTTATTATGTTGCTGTCATTTGTTCAGTATTAGTTGTTTTATAAAGTTTGTTATTGTTCGAAAGAAACGGGATCTCCCCTCACCTTGGAGGAATTTCCCTTCACATTTAGAGGGATTTCCCTCCCTTTTGAAAGATTTCCCCTCATCTTGGAGGGGGTTCCCTTTACCTTGGAGGGGTTTCCCTTCACTTTGTAGGGATCCCACCCCCTGGAAGGGTTTCCCCTCACCTTGGAGGGATTTCCTTCCCTTTGGAAGGATTTCCCCTTACCTTGGAGGGATTTCCCTTCACCTTGGAGGTATTCCCCCCCCTCCCCCTTTGGAAAGATTGCGCTCACCTTGGAGGGATTCCCCTTTACCTTGGAGAGATTTCCCTTCACATTTAGAGGGATTTCCCTCCCTTTTGAAAGATTTCCCCTCATCTTGGAGGGGTTTCCCTTTACCTTGGAGGGGTTTCCCTTCACTTTGTAAGGATCCCACCCCCTGGAAGGATTTCCCCTCACCTTGGAGGGATTTCCTTCCCTTTGGAAGGATTTTCCTTCACCTTGGAGGTATCCCCCCCCCCCCTTTGGAAAGATTGCGCTCACCTTGGAGGGATTCCCCTTTACCTTGGAGAGATTTAACTTTACTTTGGAGGGATTTCACCTCACCTTGGAGAGATTTCCCTTCACATTTAGAGGGATTTCCTTCCCCTTTGAAAGATTTTCCCTTCACCTTGTAGGTGTTTCCACCCCTCACCTTGTAATGGTTTCACTTTACTTTGGAGGGATCCAACCCCCTGGAAGGATTCCCCTCACCTTGGAGGTATTCCTCCGCTCCCCCTTTGGAAAGATTCTTCTCACCTTGGAGGGATTCCCCTTTACCTCAGAGAGATTTAACTGTACTTTGGAGGGATTTCACCGCACCTTGGAGAGATTTCCCTTCACATTTAGAGGGTTTTTCCTCCCTTTTGAAGGATTTCCCCTCATCTTGGAGGGATTTCACTTTACCTTGGAGGTATTTCCTCTCACCCTTTAAGGGTTTCCCCCACCTTGGAGAGATTTCCCTGCACCTTGTAGGTGTTTCCACCTCTCACCTTGGAATGGTTTCACTTTACTTTTGAGGGATTATCCCCTCCCTTTGGAAGGACCCCCCCCCCCCAGAAGGATTCCCATTAGCTTGGACGGATTTCCCTTCACCTTAGAGACATTTCCCTTTACATTGGAGAGGTTCTCTTTACCTTGGAGGGATTTCCCTTCACATTAGAGGTATTCCCCCTCCTTCCCCCTTTAGAAAGATTCTCCTCACCTTGGGGGGGGGGGGGTTTCCCCCATCTTGAAGGGATTCCCCATTACCTTGGAGAGATTTAACTTTTCTTTGGAGGGAATTCACCTCACCTTGGAGGGATTCCCTCCCTTTTGAAAAATTTCCCATCACCTTGGAGGGATTTCCCATCACCTTGGAGGGATTTCCCTTTACCTTAGAGGCACATTGGAGGGGTTTCACTTTACCTTGGAGGGATTTACTCTCACGTTTTGGGGGTTTCCCCCCCACACCTTGGAGGGATTCCCTCCCTTTTGAAGGATTTCCCATTACCTTGGAGGGATTTCCCTATACCTTGGATGGGTTTCCCTTTACCTTGGAGGGATTTCCCTTCACCTTAGAGGCACTTACCCTCACATTGGAGGGGTTTGCCCTTACCTTGGAGGGATTTCCTCTCACGTTTTGGGGGTTTCCCCCCACCTTGGAGGGATTTCCTTTCACCTTGTAGGTGTTTTCACTCACCTTGGAGATGTGATCCCTCACCATGGAGCGGTTTTCACTTTTCTTTAGAAAGATTTCACCTCACCTTGGAGGGATTCCCCCCCCCTTCCCTTGGAAGGATTCCCCTCACCTTGGAGGGATTTCCCTCCCTTTAGAAGGATTTCCCATCTCCTTGGAGGGGTTTCCCTTTACTGTAGAGGCATTTCCCCTCACATTAGAGGGGTTATCTTAACCTTGGAAGGATTTCTCTTCACATTGGAGAGATTCCCCTCAACTTGGAGGGATTTTCCTTCACATTGGAGGTATTCCCGTCTCTGGAAGGATTCCCCTCACCTTGGAGGGATTTCTCTTCACCTTGTAGGGGTTTCCCCCATCTTGTAGGGATTTAACTTTACTTTGGAGAGATTTCCCTTTACATTTAGAGGGATTTCCCTCCTTCTTGAAGGATTTACCCTCATCTTGGAGAGATTTCCCTTCACCTTGTAGGTGTCTTCACTCAGCTTGGAGGTGTGTCCCCTCACCTTGGAATGGTTTCACTTTACTTTGGAGGGATTTCCTCTCACTTTTTAGGCCCCCCCCCCCTGTGGAAGGATCCTCCCCCTCTTCCCCTTTGGAAGGATTACCCTCACTTTGGAGGGATTTCCCTTCACATTGAAGGAATTTGCATCCCTTTGGAAGGATCTCTCCTCACCTTTGAACGACTTCCCATCACCTAGGAGGGGTTTCACTTTACCTTTGGAGGGATTTCCTCTCACCTTTTAGGTGTTTCCCCCACCTTGAAGGGATGTCCCCCGTATGGAACTATTTCCTCTCATCTTAGCGGGATTTCCCTTCATTTTATAGGCATTTCCCTTCACCTTTATAGGCGTTTCCCTTCACCTTATAGCATTTCCCTTCACCTTCTAGGCTTTTCCCTTCACTTTGGCGGGATTTCCCTTCACCTTCTAGGCATTTCCCTTCACCTTCTAGGCATTTCCCTTCACCTTCTAGGCGTTTCCCTTCACCTTCTAGGCGTTTCCCTTCACCTTATAGGTGTTTCCCTTCACTTTGGCGGGATTTCCCTTTCACTTTCTAGGCATTTCCCTTCACCTTCTAGGAGTTTCCCTTCACCTTATAGGTGTTTCCCTTCACTTTGGTGGGATTTCCCTTCACTTTGGCGGGATTTCCCTTCACTTTCTAGGCATTTCCCTTCACCTTCTAGGAGTTTCCCTTCACCTTATAGGTTTTCCCTTCACCTTGGAGGGATTTTCCTTCAACTTTAGATTGTAAGCTCTTGTGAGCAGGACCCTCCAAACCCTCTTGTATTAAGTTGTATAGTAACTGTAATCTCTACTTACACCATAATCATTTAGCAAACTGCATTAAATCAGTCATGTATATTAATAATTTTGATGGTACAATAAAAGCCAAATTCTAGGTATTGTTCTATACCTGTGGAAGCAGAAAATCTTTGTAGTAGCCACTGCTACTATAGTGTCCTGCTGTTCCCTCTGCTTTCCTATCTCAAACTCACCACACTAGGTAGGAGAGCACGTCCTTCCCAGCATGGCCAGTTTTCTGTGTTGGGAGAACACCTGCCTGTCCTCCAGTGGCCAAGACTTGTGCTGACACAATCCCCTGCACAACTAATCACTGGGAGGATCAGCTCACCAGGGATTTCATACAAAGGAAGCAATACAAAGAGAACTTTTAACAAGTACATGGTACAGCCGGCACATATCAGGAATAGGAAATGTTGGGATAACGAGCACTTTAGGTCACCGTGTTACTTTGAGTGTCAGTCCTGGTGCAGCCATGTGTGAAAAGAGTGCGTGTCACCATCTTTATTTATCACTCAATATTAACAAATGTAATGTCTCTGTCTCTCACAGTCACTAAGACTGAAGTGGAATGTCTCATTCGACTTTACAACACAATAGTGGGCCGGCCGATAGATCCGAACACCAGAGGAGGAATGGACCGGAACACCTTCAGGAATATCCTACACAACACGTTCACCATGACGGATGACATGATTATGGACAGGGGTGAGTTTTACCCACACTGTGCTGTCACATGAAGTGACCAATCAGCAGTCATCTTTCAGAGATCACAGAACACCCAAATCTGGTTGCTGTAGGTTCCTGTGCTGTGTATGTCATTGTGGTGCTTTCCCTCCATTGATATCTCTCTATTTCCACTTGTATAATGAAAAGATGTTTTCTTGTTTCCAGTGTTCCGCGCGTTCGATAAAGACAACGACAGTTACATCAGTGTGGCAGAATGGATCGAAGGATTATCTGTGTTCCTACGGGGGACATTGGATGAAAAAATAAAATGTAAGCAGAACAACGCAATCCGCACCAGGAATTCTTTGATTCTTAACCACTTCAAGTCCGGACACTTTCACCCCCTTCCTGTCCAGGCCAATTTTTAGCTTTCAGTGCTATCACACTTTGAATGACAATTGCGCGGTCATGCAACACTGTACCCATATGAATTTTTTAGCATTTTTTTGAGACAGATAAAACTTTATTTTGGTGGTATTTATTCATCGCTGGGATTTTTATTTTTTTTGTTATGTAAATGAAAAGTCCAAACATTTTGAAAAAAAGTAAATTAAGTTAAATAAATAATCGTTCTTCATAAATCTTGGCCAAAATGTATTCAGTTATCTTTTTAGTAAAAAAAAAAAACCCCAAATTAGTTTATAACCAAACATTATATTTTTTAAACATTTTTTTTACATTTTTATTTTTTTATATTATTATTTATGGGTTTTTTTTAACATACTGTCTCCCTAGCAGTACAGTGTCACCATAGTGACACTGTACTACTTGTGGGGCGGGGGTGATGAAGATTTTTTTTTTTTTTTGTTACACTGATTGCTTTTACACCCATAAAGGCTGTAAAAGAAATAATTTCTCCTTCTCTCTGGCTGTATTCCTGCAGCTGTTGAGAAATACTGTGCGAGCTGTGATTGGTCACAGCTTCTCACATGGTACAATGCTTTTGTGAATAGCCTTGTACCATATGACCTCTGTGATCATTCACAGATTTCACACATAGTAAGCAATGATGTCAGGAAGTGACATCTTGTATACTACTATTCATGTGATCACTTATTGGCCAATCAGTGATCACATGAATCGGGACCTTACACAGAGGACCCATACAGCGGGCACCGATCATGGTGCCGCGCGCTCCCATTGAGCGCGCACAGGCAATTGATGCAGGGGGATGTTTAGAAATGTCCACTTGCATCGGCAGCGCTCCCTTCTGGCCGTTTATCTACATGGGCCAGATGGGAAGTCGTTAAAGCTTTTTGATATTTGCATAACTCCTCCCAAGAACCATCCCACTGCTTGCATCAGCACTGAGAGCTCTTGGGAGGATTACTGAGGCAGGATGCTGGGGTATTTTCAGGACTCTATGTACAACACCCTGTCAGCCCCTCCCACCAGCCTCAATCTGCCTCCATAAAGAAGCACAGAGACCCAGTGATGTCAACACTGGCTCCAAAATAAAGTATATAAATGAAAACAGCTTTAAATTGGTTATGGTCTATGGCACTTACTGTCGCTTGAATAAAACTTACGAGGCTCAATTCACTAAGCTATAATGCATGTGTTCACATTTTTTTTTTCCAAAGATTGTTTTGAAGTATATGATCTGAACAGTGATGGGTACATCTCTAGGGAAGAGATGTTCCACATGTTGAAGAACAGTCTTCTCAAGCAGCCTACAGAGGAAGATCCAGATGAGGGTATAAAGGACCTGGTGGAGATAACCCTCAAGAAGATGGTGAGCAGTTAGCTACTTGTTCGGTAGATGGTGGGTGGTGCATGGCCTGGGGTTTATTTGGTTATTTTGGAATGGTGGAGAGATTTTGCAGGCCACATGCTTTACCTGTACACTGCTGCTGAATTGGTTGGAAGAGACAAAGAGCACCCAGGGGTTGCCCCCTTTTGGGATATATAAATCAGTGTCATTAGAAAAAGGGATCACAGATACACCAGTGAAGGAAGGATGACTGAACCGACCTGCTTGAGACACTAAACTGAACTGACAGAATGCACAGGAAGGGCGGCGCCAGATCCAATCCAGACCTGTGCAAAGGGTCAGTTCAGCCGGCACGGCACACAGCTCTCCTTGGCTTCCTAGTGGCGGCTCAAGAGCTATATTAGCCATCTGACGTGGACATGACTTGCGGCACGAGTTTCGTCATACTGCCAGTTATCCAGAGGCTGGTTTCTTCGGTTTTAATGCGGAACTAAACCCATCGATTTAGCAGATTCAAAAAACAATTACATTCTCGGCATGCCAAGATTGCTGTCACTTGTGCTCTCAACCAAACTGTCAAACCATCAAATGGCTGGTGTCATACCTGACCATATGTGCAGCATCATGGCAGAACAGGGACTAAGATGGCAGCTTCCTTGACTGAAAAGGATAGGAGGGTGTAGTTCCGCTTTAAATGAAAGTTGGTACATTGTTTATTTTCCATTAAAGTTTCCTTCACTGATGTATCTCTGCTCCCTGTTTTTCTGATTACATATTACTTGGAGTTGGTGGCTCTTCCCTGATCACTCACTCACCAGGAGCAGCGGGATGCATTTAACCCCTCATATCTCAGTCTACATCACGGGTGTCAAACTACTCCCTCCAGCTGTTGCCAAACGACAAGTCCCACGAGGCATTGTAAGATTGACAGTTACAAGCATGACTCCCAAAGGTAGAGGCATGATGGGACTTACTTGTAGTTTCATAACAGCTGGAGGGCCGCCGGTTTGACACCCCTGGCCTACATCAACGTTGGAACATAAGGCTTCTTCAGTTGTGCAATTTTTTGGAGTTATTATTTTAAGCCCCTTTACCAGCTGGAATCACAGACATTAGGAATGCCACATTCATTATTCCTTTTTTTTATGTTACATGGTGCTCAATGACCTGTGTGCTTGTAGAACTGAAAGTCACATCCACAACTGCAGATTGTGATGGGATGGTCCCCCTGTTTTAGCATCCTAAGTGGTACCCAGGGATTGTATACACTTCACCGTGTACTCTGTGTATTAGAGAGCTGGCATTACCTTCTATCATGGCAGTCTATTGCATTTAGTATCTCTGGCATGTCCATCTCTCTGGTCTCCCTATGATCTAGCAACCTTTCTTTGGAGAACATTGCCTGTGGCGCATGCACAGTGCGGTGAGTATTCTGGGCTCTATTCTTCCTGTAAGATGACTACAATGTAGCCACTTTTTGGAACATCATAACTTCTGCACCTATGTGTGAAAGTGCCATCAATAATGGCTGAAGAGGAGCATACAGTATGAAGAAGATAAAAATGGAGTAACAAGGGACAGTTCTGATCAGCCATTGTTGGAGGAGGGCAAACGACCAGGTGAGTCTTTCCATATTGCTAAAGTATGCTGCCCACTAGGGATGAGCTTGGGTTTGGTCCGAACTCTGAAAGAGTATGTCAATGCTGAGCTAATCAGCTGTGGGTGGGGGATTCCCCACCCTTCAGCTACACATACACAAAGGGCCGGGGATGTTCAAGACATCCCTCACCAAATATGGCCACATGGTCACATTGGGCTAATGCCATTGACCTAATATGGCCCTATAAGGTCAATGCTGTCATGATAAACCCCTCCTCTTTGTGTATGTGAAGCCGAAGTGTGGGGAGTACCCTGCCCCCAACTAATTAGTCCAGTACTGACAGCTTTCCTCAGGGTTCGGCTAAATGTGGATTTGGACCAAACCTAAGCTCATCCCTACTGTTCACGTTATGGCAAGAGCAGCAGAACTACAGTTGCACTTAAGGGTGTAATTCTGCCCAAAACTTCTCCAAAACCTCCATGAAGTATTTAGTGATTTCCCCCGACTTCCTGACACAGTGGGGTTGATTAATTAAGGCAAACAGACTGTGCACTTTGCTCCAGAGCTTAGTAAATGAGCAGGAGCTCTGCTGACTTCTATCATCCATTCATGTGCAAGCAAAAATGCTTTTTCCTTTCCTTCATTTTCTTTGCATTGGGTATTCTGGGCAGAGTGTAGCTTCATCTCATTTACTAACAACTGGAGCAACTGCACTTGCAGAGTGCAACTTCAATTTTAAAGTGTGCCGTCTAATTGCCTTAATAAATCAGTGTTGGTGGTCATAAAGACATAAAATTAGGGGAAATGTTTCCAACAAGAACACAGTAATAACATTTTCATGCAATATCCATGTCAGCGTTGGAAGCCTCAGGATTTCTTTCACCTTTGATTTCCTTTAACATACGTTCGCAGAATTACCTATGGATGTATATATGGAACTGTCTGATGGAATGGGTTCTTTCACTGTGATGTACAGTGAAAATTCAATGAATTATCTGTCACACTCTCTGCTTTGTTTGCTTATAAACTCCTGGATAATGTCTCCATATTTCGTCTCCCCACCCCCCAGGATCATGATCACGATAGCAAACTGTCTTACGCAGATTTTGAAAAAGCTGTCCGAGAGGAGAACCTGCTTCTGGAAGCCTTTGGGACGTGTCTCCCTGATAGCAAGGTGAGATCCAGGAACTGTATTTTCACAGGAATAGTTTTAAATATCGATGGGTACACGGGCCGAAAATTGGTTTCCAGCCCATGTGTACAGCTGTCTGTTGTACAGAAGCAGGTCGTACAACCAGCATCTGACAAACGGGCATGCTGGAAAACCAACATCTGATCAGAACACAAAGGCACAGCAGGAGAGATCGCCGCACTAATATGGCTTGTGTTAGTACAGTGATCTCTACATTTTTTGCATTCAACCCACTGAGTTGACCAAAAAAAAAAAAAAAAAAAAACCTTCTAGTATGTACCCAGCTTCAGGAGTTGTATCATTTTGTAGACATCTTATGGAAAGTTATCTCTGGAGTTCTGGGGTGAAGAGCCCGTCATCTAATCCTCCTCCTGTATCAGCGGCACGTCATCGGAAGGACCGATGATACGTAGGGTAAGAACTTAGAGCAGTAAAAGAAAAACTACAAAAATGCAAACGTAGCCAAAAAAGAAGGTCCACAACACAGGAATAGATCTCTCACTGAGAATAAAAGGCGCCAGCCTACACTCATTTATATCACCGGATAACTGAGACTTTGTCCTTTTATTCCTGACTCGGCTAGTCTACCTTTATAAAAAAAAAAGTAAATGCATCATTTTCGTTAAAAAGAAATGTGCATTTATTATTGCTTTGCATAGGTGCCTGGAAAGTTCTGCAACGATCATGGGTGCAATATTCCGTCTCCTGCAAACGCTGGTCTTTACAGAGCTACAGACCTTCAGTTACAGAGCTGCAGAAGTGTCAGTGGGCTACCAGTTCAATGTCACTACATTTGTGCTCCGTTAGAAACCGTGAGTCCCACTACTGCACTGGCAGATGGGATCCAGTTTTTTTTTGTCAGATTCCTGTAACAATGATGCAGATAGGTGGGCGGAGTCATGTTGATTTCAAATTTGACAGGAACCAATAGGGAGATACACCCTTGGCATCTGTAGGAGGGTGGGGGCTGCAGCCTCTGATCATGCTTCATGTTACATATGGCAAAATCAGCAGGTCTGGTAAAGCCCACCTGACTTCATGGCTGGACAACATCCCCAGCATCATCTAGCTCCTTCCTCCCCAGCCTTGCTGCCCCTGGCCCGCCCCTTTCATTTCCATTAAGTATGGAGCCTGCCTAGGAACCCCACTGCTCCAGCCTGACATTCAGACATCAAGGCATTTGTGACATTTGCAATCAAACCCTTCTAAGATAAACCATTTCGGCTGAAGATTGGCTTTAAGCCCCCAGCTGGGTCTCTGTCCCACCTCAGCCCGATACATACTGTGCTGTAAATTACAATGAATTTTCACTAATTTATTTGATGTATTTTGGACAATGTGTTTTCTTGCAGAATATCATGGCTTTCACGAGGCAAGCGTTTGCAGAGCCAAGCGAACCATAGCTATTAACGGTCAGCAAATCGATCCAGAAATCTGCATTGTACCACCAATGTACAGGAATTTGGAGTGGCATTCAGCTGAATTTTCATCAATCACTGTGGAATTTGATGGTCAGTTCAACCAAAATGGATTTTTTCTTGTGGGACTCACTAGTTTCTTATATCTCTCAAAGGCTCCTTCTATGACTTGTCTGCCCTTTCTTTAAACCCGATTCCCCCTCTTTAAGGCACCCACCTTGCCCTAACTACACACATGCATACCTTTTTATTTCATCTGGTGATGTCACGGGTTCTTCCTCCTCCAGCAGTGAATGGTTGCTGTTCCTCCAGTACTCTTAGCCTAGGCTGGTTGAGTTCACTTGGCCACAAAGGGTGGGTTCAAGACAACCAGGACTCAGAGGAGGTGGCCAGCGATCATTCAGCTCAGAAGGCTAGCAGCATCTAGTGGCTTAAAGTAATTACTGCAGTTGACTCCTTTAGCTTTGAGGAAGAATATTGCAGCAAATGCTCCTCCATGCTTTCATTTGCTGGCCAATTTTCTAATCTTTATTTGGAGTTCTGCTTTAACACCACAGCAGGAGCACTGAAAATCCTCCCACTTCAGCAAGAGGTTTAAGACTGATAAATACAAGTTAGATATCTGATAACCTGCAATTTGCAGAGTCCCAGAAAGTCTTAATTAAACAAATGAACCCTCTGCTATCCACCCCCTCCAAAATATCTATTTTAAAGGATCAGCCCATCCAAAACTATCATAAAATGAAAAGGTAAAATAAAACCTGAACTGAGGAAGTTAGGAGGCAGCCAATCCTGATCACAACCCACAAATGCTGGTAACCTGGCTACCTTTGGCTTCAATACTTCCTTAATTTAGAACAAGCATGCATCAAGCGAAGTCTGAGCTACTGAACTTCATACTTGTTCCCGGCCACTGACTAAAGTATTACTGAAGCCATTGGATTAGTATGACAGTCAGAAAAATGGGCATTTGCATAAACAGGCCCCAGCACTGACAGCCTACATACTTCCATCAGTACGTTTCCTCTAGCAACAGAAAAAACAAACCCCATTCCACAATGTTTGTATAAAAATACCTTGCTGTATATTTAATGTATATTTTTCTGATACATTGTTTTTCAATAAAAAAAAAAAGGGTAATAAATATGTGAGCCGAGTGGATGTGGTGTGTAGAATAATGGGATTAGATTCTTCTTCTCTGTTTGGCGAGCGGAGCAGCTGGTGGATCTTCGGTGGGGGGCTCTGTTCTGGTCAGGGTGCAGGATGCAGAACCCTATGGAGACAGAGTTGGAAGATCAACACAGCTAATGCAAAACATTGAAGCTGAACCCCAGCCTTCCTATCCAGCTTGTACAGGCTTCTCCTCCTGGACTGAAATATCATAGGCTGGCCATACACTATTCAATTTTCTGTCCAATTTCCTTTAGATTTACCTTCAACTATGTAGTGCAAGGACCTGCCTAATTGGATACAATTGAAAGTGTTGTTTAGGTTTGACCTCATATTATATGGTTTTTGGTAAATCTAAAGCAAAATTCTCAAGAAAATTGTATAATGTATGGCCAGCCTTACTCTGATCTTACTGCACACTGTGAGCTTCTTACATGTGCTTTAAAAACTGCAAGTCAGATAGAGCCTGGAGGACATCCAGCGTCATCAATGCTTTTCTCCCTAGCCTGACTGTCCTTTGTAAGGCCTTTTTATTCATTGGATTTTAGTTCTTTCAGTCATTGAGCTCAGTATCACATGCGGGTGTTACCTAATGCAGTGTGACTAGGAACACCCACTCCTCCAGACCGACCTGCACACATCAAGGCATTTAGATATTTGCATAACTCCTCCCACTGCTTGCTTTTAGGGGGAACCATCAAAAGCAAACTATAAGCCAAACAACAAACTGAGCCAGTCCCATATGACCTGCTGAAACAAGAACTATCTGTATTGCCATCAGCAACTTCATTTCAGCTATCAATTTCAGGTGCAGGGACAACAAAGGCAGTCTTTTTTTTTTTTTTTTCAAATAAATGTAAAAACTGTAATATTTGATCTAGAGTGGGTTCCTGATGGTAAGAACTTTGAACCATGGTTGTGCAATGTGTACTGACAAAACTGCTTTGCAATATCAAGCAGAGGTGCACGTGACAACTGAAGAGCACAATTGAGAGGAAGTGCCTGAACAAGGACTTCCTGGAATGATCACCAGATATTTTATTAAAAGCTGTAAACGTTATAGCTTATGTAAAAGTGTAGTTTTTGGGTTTATATCTGCTTCATACAGAAAGTAAACTACATCACGATTGCAGAATCATCCCGTCCTTCCTTCCATCCATTGTGGAATTAGTAGTTTTAGGTTTATACACTGCTCAAAAAAATGAAAATAAACACTTTGAAAACTCATCAGATCTCAATCGGGAAAAATCTCATGCTGGATATCTATACTGACATAGACGGGGTAATGTGTTAGGAATGTAAGGACGCCCCATCGTTTGATGGAAATGACAATTATCAACCTACAGAGGACTGAATTCAGACACCCTGAAAATCAAAGTGAAAAAAATGATGCAGCAGGCTAGTCTATTTTGCTGAAATTTCATTGCAGCAACTCAAAATGCTACTCAGTAGTTTGTATGGCCCCCACATGCTTGTATGCATGCCTGACAATGTTGGGGCATGCTCATAATGAGTCGATGGATGGTGTCCTGGGGTATTTCCTCCCAAAACTGGAAAAGGGCATCACTGAGCTCCTGGAAAGTCTGAGGTGCAACCTGGCGGCGTCGGATGGACCGAAACCTAAATATCCCAGAGGTGTGCTATTGAATTTAGGTCAGGCGAGCGTGGGGGCCATTCAATGGTATCAATTCCTTCATCCTCCAGGAACTGCCTGCATACTCTCGCCACATGAGGCTGGACATTGTGGTGCGCCAGGAGGCACCAAGGACCCACTGCACCAGTGTAGGGTCTGACAACGGTCCTAGGATTTCATCCCGATACCTAAATGGCAGTCATTGTGCCATTGTCTAGCCTGTAGAGGTCTGTGTATCCCTCCATGGATATGCCTCCCCAGACCAGGCAATGAGCACAGGGCACACTACAGGACATTGGGCCCTCAGGCCTCCCTCATGAAGTCTGTTTCTGATTGGTCAGAAACATTCATACCAGGGGCCTGCTGGAGGTCATTTTGTAGGACTCTGGCATTGCTTATCCTGTTCCTCCTTGCACAAAGGAGCAGATACCAGTCCTGCTGGTGGGTTAAGGACCTTCTACAGCCCTGTCCAGCTCTCCTAGAGTAACTGCCTGTCTCCTGGAATCTCCTCCATGCTCTTGAGACTGTGCTGGGAGACACGGCAAACCTGGCAATGGCACGTATTGATGTGCCATCCTGGAGGAGTTGGACTGCCTGTGCAACCTCTGTAGGGTCCAGGTATCGCCTCATGCTACCAGTAGTGACACTGACCCTAGCCAAATGCAAAACTAATGAAAAACAGTCAGAAAAGATAAGTAGGGAAAAAAATGTCAGTGGCCTCCACCTGTAAAACCATTCCTGTTTTGGGGTTTGTCTTATTATTGCCCATCTAGTGCACCTGTTAGTTTCATTAACACCAAAGCAGCTGAAACTGATTAACAGCCCCCTCTGCTACTTACCTGACCAGATCAATATCCCAGGAGTTTCATTGACTTGATGCTATACTCTGATTAAAAAGTGCTCCTGTAATTTTTTTGAGAGCAGTGTATATAGGCAAGCCTGCACTATATCAATTTTGCTTCTGCACAACTTTTTTTTTTTTTAAAAGGATAAGTTCATCTTTTGTAACACATTACATGTTAAACCCATATTCAGAATGTAACATGCAACTGTTGCAGTAGCCCCCGCACAATCCTGATCCCCCATAGTGACATCCCTGCACTCGCTGTCACAATTTAAAAAAAAAAAAAAGCAGCCATGAAGGGCTCTACCCACCCAGCCACGTCATTCATTCAGAGTTCTGTGAATGTGAGAACTACATGTACCAAAATCCTTTGCTTGAACTGCCAAGGCAATGTTGAGTGCTCTATGCAGTTCATTGATGCTTCCTGTCAGTGTGTAATTGCCTGTCTGTATGAGGTATGAGCAGGCAGTTACTATTCAAAGGTGATGCTTTAAAAGCCTTTACAAGTTACCACTTTAGACTTACAGAGGAAGTCTGGTGTTAGAATTACTGCCCATGATCTGATGATCGCGGCGATACCTCACGTGTGGGATGATCGCTGTTTGCGTGCATGAGGGATCGACAGCATTTTAGTTTTTTGTTCTTACACTGTCACTTTAAATTTGTTATCACTTGTATTGCTGTCACAAGGAATGTAAACTTCCTGTAACAGCAATATACATGACAGGTATTTTTATCGATCGATCAGGGGTCTACGAGACCCCAAAACCCGTCTCTGCACTTGAAAGCATTCAAAACACCAAAATCAGTGTTTTTGAATGCTTTCGTAAACAGGAAGTGGTATCAAGTCATCGCTTCTGGTTTACAATAATGGAGAGATGATAAAAGCCGATTCTAGCTTTGTTTGCCTGTCCGGCCAGCCAGTGGACATGCCAACTGGTCACTCGGGACTCACGGTGGGACAGGGAGATCCCAAGAGAGTAGCGGAAGGGGGGCATCCCCTCCCACTGTTTGTTTACGCAATCGAGCGGCCAGTAGCCGCTCCGATTTCTTGCACAAGAGAGCAGACCACCGGATCTAAAAAATGGTAGCAGGGTGATGCCTGCAGCTGCAGACATCACTCCAGTACAACCACCTAAAGTCCAGGTATGTCGCTGGTTCAGAAGTGGTTAAATGTACATAGAAAGAGGAAATTCTTGTTACAATTAAAATATTTTTTGGAGTTCAATCGTTTTGAACTTGTGGCATGGCAGAAGTGAGAGTCTCCCTACTGCAGCAGGAAGGATCAGGCATGACGCTCCCCCTATCAGAATGATCAGGTTGGGTATGACATCATGTGACTCCACAATATAAAGATTACATGTCCAACATGGGATCATGAACCCAGAATAACCCCATTTACTTGCCTCTTTCAGTTTCGCTCTAATTAAGTCAGCAGAGATGTTGAGGGAATCATCAGTCATGTCTAATTTTGGAATTTCTGGTAGTTTTGGTCCGATGACAATCTCCTGAGATTCCGGAAGTAATAGATCCAGCCTTGTCCTCTCCTCCCGTTTCCTCTGTCTCTCCTGAAGCTGTGTTGTCCTTGGCATGAACCTGGTAGAACTCATAATGTTGGGTGGTCCTTGTGGCGGACCAACTGGCCTTTCTGTTTGATGAGCATTGTCTTTGGATTCATTTCTGGAATCCCAGGCTATGGAATGTGATGGAGGGTGATATTCATGTTTGTAGTCTGGGGTCACTGAGGGTGGAGGGTAGTATTCATATCTGCAGTCTGGGGTCACTGAGGGTGGAGGGTAGTATTCATATCTGGAGTCTGGGGTCTGTGAAGGTGGAGGGCAGTACTCGTGTCTGTAGTCTGGTGTCACTGAGGGTGGAGGAGCAGAGAAGGGAGTAGAGGGGTCACCAGACTGTACAGGTGTGTGATAGGAGGAGGTATGCGCACAGTTCACAGCAGAGTGTACAGGAACTAAAGTGGAACTTTCAGGTACTTCCTGTCTCTTCTTTGCAACCCCATGTTCTTTGGAGAAAAAAAAAGGTGATAATCAATTAAAATACACTATGGTTAAAGGACAAATGCTTTATTTTTTTATCACATTATTATTCACCTTTAGGAATGTAAACGTCCTGTGACAGCAATGGACATAACAGGTATTTTTATGGAGCGATCGGAGGTCTATGAGACCCCAAATCCCTTCTCTGCACTTGAAAGCATTCAAAACACCAGAATCAGTGTTTTTGAATGTTTTCGTAAACAGGAAGTGGTATCAAGTCATCGCTTCTGGTTTTACAATAATGGAGAGATGATAAAAGCCGATTCTAGCTTTGTTTGCTTGTCCGGCCAGCCAGTGGACATGCCAGCTTGTCGCTCGGGACTCTCACGGTGGGACGGGAGATCCCAAGAGAGCAGCGGAAGGGGGGCATCCCTCCCACTGTTTGTAAAAGCAATCGAGCGGCCAGTAGGCGCTCTGATTTCTTGAACAAGAGAGCCGACCACCGGATCTAAAAAATGCAGCTCATAGGCCTCATTCACACAGGCGGACCTAGAAGTACAAGGAGCAGCGCAGTTCACGGATACCCATCTAGACAAGGGCGTACCTATCTGTATACCCATGCATCTTTGCCCACATGGGATGCACAGGTATTCTGTGCATCCCTGTGCAGGCAGTCCCATTTGTGGCAACTGGGACAAACACAGTCCTAATTTGACAGCTATGCAAGTGCAGGTCCCTGAATACACACCTGAAATCTCAATGCAACCTCAGTTACAATGTAACTTATTTGAGATATACAAACAGAAGGCATAAAGTCTTTTCAATGAAAGGGGTAGGTCATGTGGTGTAAACCAACCTTTGTCCAGACGTGGCGCGCGCCACATACCGCCTCCTCTCCTGCAACTTTTCTCGGGTCTCCTGAACGCTCTCAAACTCTGGCGCATAGCAGACATGAAGGAGACCACCAAAAAAACTGCGTTCATCTTGTTTCCGCTTGGCAACTCTGTAAAATTACAAGGCAAAAATAAGTCATTGGCTTCTTAGACATCTTTGATACATCAATAGTGAGCTCTCTGCTGTAATTCCTGACACTGTCCCTGTCTGCATGGGAGTTCCTTTGTGTGTTCCAGCCCCTCCTATTACATTCTCCATAAAAAAATCAAATGAAAATCTAGCATGGATGGTGGGAACCCTTCAAAATGGGCATGGCAGGTTTGCATCGATCTGACCAATAGATCCCCCGAGTGATAAGAAAGTTTAACTCTTCAGCCTCTACTGAAAACATCCATTTTTAGTGGACTGATCCTTTAAAGTGAATCCGCTGCTAGGCTAGAATGCATTCTTTATCTACTGTTGTAAGCTGCTTGTACTAGAAATATTTTGGATGAGTGACAGGACCTCTTTAAAGGCCACCAAAGACCTCTATTTTATTAGGTGGTGGACTAGAGTGAAAGTGATTTCCCTCACGTTGAAAGATATTCTCTCACTTCCTGTTGAGTCTATAGGACAGAAGTGCAGAGAAATCATCCTAGCAAGACACAAAGTCAATGTCTAAAAAGAAATAAAAGCAGTCAGCAGCAGAGAGGAGGACCAGATACTACGCTTCTCCGTGCAGAGGCTCGTCTCTTTCCCCACCCGTCTCAGCAGTCGGCAGCAGAGAGGAGTTCAGAGCATCCGCAGCACACCCTCGCCTCCACTTTCCCTGGTTCCAGCATTCAGCTGACTCCAGCCCTCCACTGGTCCTCCTCCAGATCCTGCACTTCCTGCTTCCCATCCCCTCAGCCTCTTCCTGGCAGCAGTACAAGGGTACACTGATGTAAGCAGGGGTGGGGGACTCTTGATATCTGATGTAAGCAGGGGTGGGGGGTGCTTTGGACATCTAGTCTTACAGATATAACCAGTCCTTTGAAGGCAATCATAATGCTAATGCGCCCCTCGATTAAATGGAGTTTGACACTCCTAATAAAAAGACAAAACTGTTTTGTTATATTATTCCATTTATAGCTGAACTCCAGACAAACAGCCACATACAAAGCATGCATGTGTGGAAGATGTTTCACCTGAACAAAAACAAAGCTACAAAGCACATATGTTGAGAACCTGACTTTTCTCTGCTACAGTTAAAGTGTTACTAAACCCAGGACCCTGCATTCACTATATCTGGTCTCCCTGGACCCTGCATTCACTATATCTGGTCTCCCCGGCACCCTGCATTCACTATACTCTGGTCTCCCCAGTACCCTGCATTCACTATACCTGGTCTCCCCTCCCCAGACCCTGCATTCACTATATCTGGTCTCCCCCCGGACCCTGCATTCACTATACTATCTGGTCTCCCCCGGACCCTGCATTCACTATATCTGGTCTCCCACACTACATGGAAATGAAATTATTTTAGTAAATATGAACTGCTAAATACCTTTTCTCATCAGCAGTATATAGCAGTCTTGTGACTTCTATCAGTGTCCAGCAGAGCACTGGTTAAAGCTTATAGGAGGAGTTTTCTTTCTGCTTTAGGAGGATGCAAAACCCCTGACCTGTCTGGACAGTGCTGATTGGCCCTGTGCTGATCATATGCACTCGTCCAAGAAAAAAAAAAAAAAAAACTCTTTAGCAATACACACTAAACTGAGCATGTGAAAAATGGCTACGGGTTCAGTCTGTCTTATCAGGAGATAAGATGTGGACATTTGAACTAGAGGAGGGGCAGAGAAGACAGGATCAAACAGCCTTTTTACACAATGCAGAGACGTAACCCCTTAGGTTCCACAGTGAGTATAACAAGCATGCTTTACTGCATATACAGACTGATTTTACTGTTGTGGGTTTAGTAACACTTTAAATAATACACCTCCCCCCAGCCTATGACTGAACAGCAAAGAAGCAGCAGCAGACTGATGGCATCATCTCTCTGCTCCCTCATCAGCACATCTGCATGCATCAGACTAAACTGGATTGTAATGCTGCCACTCCAAGTCTAAGCTCTGCTGTACACGATTGCAATCCTAGTCAAATCCAGGTACAAAAACACTAGTGGCCTTAACCACTTTCCCAACGCCCTATAGCAGAAATACTGCTAGAGGGCGGCAGGGGTGCGCAAAATCACATAAAAATACGTGATTTTGGATATTCAGGTAGGGGACGTATGCGCCGCCATTGGCAGCCTCACCTGTCGATCACAGGGCCCTGGCTGGTGATTCCCCGCTGGCACCCGGCAATCGCTGTGTGTCACCGATGGGGTAGAGACCTGTATGTAAACAATACAGATCTCTCCCATCAGCTCCTGCATACTGCTTTGTACCGCAATTGATAAAGTACCGTGTCGCAAAAAATGGCCTGGTCAGGAAGGGGGGTAAATCCTTTGGAAGGCAAGTGGTTAAAATATTGGAATATGTATTTGTTTATTGAATACATACAGCAACTGCATTAACTGGTGTTTTTTCATATATGCCTGGATATCTAGGCAGATATTAAAGACACAATTTATTGCAGCTCTGCATTCAATATTAAATCATTAAATTGATTTTTTTTAAAATGCAAGCAGTGCAAGTACCTGAAATTGGTATCAGCCTCTTGCAGTTCCCAATACAGCAAGGCTCAAACTGGAAGAGGGAAAAGCAGCACAAAGAGACAATCAGTTGCATTGCATACTGATAGGAGGAGAATGCTTTCTGCTGCTTCTCCTTTCACTGTCCAGTCACAAGGTAGAGGAAGGATTGTAAGCATTAACTGCCAGCAGAAAAAATATCAGGTCTCCTGTCCTGTCACATAGGGGTGTGCTGTGTAACTCTCAGGACTGGATGAACAGAAATACAAATCCTTTGTCAGGTAAAACAGCTGCCGTAAGTGTATTTCACCTGAATTCAGCTGAAAATGGAACAAAGTATGCAGTGTTCTAGTGAAGCAGAGAAAGGCATCATCACCTTGCGCTCTGTGTCCTCTGGAATTTAATAAGATACACCTCTGTGAACTCCTCTGTAGGGTATTCATCTAGAACATTGTATTCTTCTATGGCACCATACAGGGCAAACTGCTCCACCAGCTCCTTCATAACCCCAATCGCAGGAACACCCTGCACCAGCAGGTACCGAGACTCAAGGTTGATGGTGTAGACCTAGAAGGATGATACAATAGATCAATGAGACTCACATGTGAGGAGCATTCTACCCACTGACCCCCAACATGAGGAGCATTCTACCCACTGACCCCCAACATGAGGAGCATTCTACCCACTGACCCCCAACATGAGGAGCATTCTACCCACTGACCCCCAACGTGAGGAGCATTCTTCCCACTGGCCCCAAACGTGAGGAGCATTCTACCCACTGGCCCCCAACGTGAGGAGCATTCTACCCACTGGCCCCCAACGTGAGGAGCATTCTACCCACTGGCCCCCAACGTGAGGAGCATTCTACCCACTGACCACCCAACGTGAGGAGCATTCTTCCCACTGACCCCCAACGTGAGAAACATTCTTCCCACTGACCCCCAACGTGAGGAACATTCTACCCACTGACCCCCAACGTGAGGAGCATTCTTCCCACTGACCCCCAACGTGAGGAACATTCTTCCCATTGACCCCCAACGTGAGGAACATTCTTCCCATTGACCCCCAACGTGAGGAGCATTCTACCCACTGACCCCCCAACGTGAGGAGCATTCTACCCACTGACCCCCAACGTGAGGAGCATTCTACCCACTGACCCCCAACGTGAGGAGCATTCTACCCACTGACCCCCAAACGTGAGGAGCATTCTACCCACTGACCCCCAACGTGAGGAGCATTCTACCCACTGACCCCCAACGTGAGGAGCAATCTTCCTACTGATCCGCAAATGCTAGTAGGCAATATACATACCAAGCTGCTTCTTTTTACTTATGGCCTTGAAAAGTCCAAACGCCCTTTGTTTCACATGCTCCCACTATTCTTACTTACTGCTGCAAAAGTCCACAATAGGAACCTATGCCTGAAAAAAAATCCTCAAAGGATTGTCTTACCTCTACATCTTTCAGGAGAGCCGAATTCAGTTTCCAGACACCCCTTCCCCTGGGTGGAGTGTCCGCGGCATTCAAAGTCACGGACAATGCTCAGAGAACTCCACCTCCTTCAACTCAGGAGCTGAGAAAGCAGAGTTCTCCTTTTAAAAAATCCTGTCTATCCTGCTCTATGTAAAACCTGTGCTGCCAGGGCAGTGCTTCAGGTGCATATCTACCAGGTCTGCCTAACCATATCTCTGAGAAAACCGCCATCATAACCCAGCCTGTCTATGGAGCCTCTCCTGTCTTCAGGCCTAATTATGGTGTTAAAGTCACCTCCAAAGACAACCTGCTGGGACATAAAAAGGAAGGGCTTGATCTTTGTGAGGAGGCATTTCCTGTCTCATTTTGACTGTGGTCCATGGATATTAATCAGGCGCAGGTCCTGACCCCCAACAGAGACATCTCAGACCATGCATCTCCCCATTCTACCTCAATTACCCGCCGGCACATTATCATATCGGTTTTAAAAAACACCGCAACTCCACTGCAAGATTCAGCCACAAGAGACCAAAAGAAGGGACCGCATCTCCACTCGCTTTTTGCTAGATGGACATCGGCCAAAGTATTGAGCCAGGTCTCTTTCAAAAATAAAATCTCAGCACTAAACCCACTGAGCAAACAGAGAGCCATATCATGAGCTCTTGCAAATTTAATGCTGGCGACATTAATGGTCACCACCTTAAAACGGAGCGGGAACTGCCATCGGGGTGATTGGGGTAGTCGTTTCTTAACCTCTACCACACTCTCATCACCCAACACAGATCTCTTCAGCGTATGTGACTCCCCCTCATCCATAGATAAAGAAATGGATAAATCAGATTCCATCTCATCATCTGACAAAACTGAATAGGTGTTGCCAAGAGGGACCCTCCTGGGTCTGATTCTGAGGAAGAAAGGACAGCTCTTCTCATCCTCTTCTTATTTTTCTTCCTCTTGACTCTCTCCCACCCTCATCAGCTGAATCCCCTTCAGCAGGAAGTGAGACATGGGCACCCCTCCCTCAGCACCATTGGCTCCACCCCCACACTCTCCTGACCACGTTTGCACGGTCGTGGGACAGGTACCGGTGGTGGAGTAGACCGAGAGGGAAGATCCACTAAACCTGCCCCCCCCCCAGCAGCATCCTCTAGTCTGGAGGATCTACATACAGTAGGTTTAAGAACAGGAGGGACAGACTCAGGGATGACATTACTACAGGAAACAGAATCTGACACAACAGACGGAACAGACCCAGGAGGGGCAACAAGTTTCCTCCCTAACATCAGCTGCCTCATTTTCTTTATCCAGCCTCTGCAGCTCAGCCTCCAATCCTGTCAGGTTGTGTAGTGCCTCTGAGCACTGACTATACGCATGACCCAGTTGCTGGCACAAATTGCACCAAATCTGGGTGGATTCTTTGGCCAAATGGCCTAAATCCTGGCACAGTCAGCACTTCTTGATGGTGCAGGACGATGCAAAGTGGCCTCTCTCCACATTTATTACAAACCTTAGGCTGACCCTAATAGAAAATAGCCTATCCCTCCCCAGAAAGGCTGAGCAGGGCAGTTGCTGAACCACATTGCCCAGTACCCTCAATTACAGGGACACTGTCCAGGCCCCTAGCTATATCCCATGCTCATCCAGGACCTTCCACAGTGGGGTGAGGACCTCGCCATATCGACGTAGCCACACTACCAAATCAGCCTCTGGTATGGATTAGTTACGGACTAGGATCGTCACAGATTTTATCAAAGGCTGCCTTGAAACCACCTTTGGCACCAAACCTCTCCACTGCTGAAGACACCTGCACCTCCTATACCTCTCCCAAAAAAGATCCAGACCTTCAGGTTTTACAAACGATAAATCATATAACTGCCAACTAGGCAGATCAAAGCAAAAACATCACAGGCTGTAAAACCCATCACATTCATAATCTTCACAGCAATGTCCGTACTCACAGCTGCAACCATAGAAACTTCAGCTCCAGCTCTCATCTCTTCCTCCAGGACAAGACTTTCAGCACAGGAACATGTGGGCTGTTCAGACATAGCAACAGGTGAAACATCCATGACTGTTTGCTCTCCACATACTTCACGATACAGTGTGCTGCTCCCCTCCCCCACTAGCATCAATTCGCTCTGGAACACATGTAGATTCAGCTTCAGCAGACTCTTTGCGGGTGGCAGCCATCTTGCCTATAGAGGGACTACTGGTCTCAGAAGGAACAGCAGCAGTAACATTCATCTCCGGGGTGTTTGGTGCAAGTCCAGCCACATTCCATCCACATCTCTTCCCTACATGTCTGCAGAGGGCTCCACCACAGCAGGTTGTCTGCAGAGCTCCTTTGCATCAGCAGTACTCACCACAGCCGGTGGGGCAGACATGTTGGAAGGCAGCTTGGTGTACTGGGACTTCTCCACCAGTACTGGCTTTGCCAGTCTATACCTCCTCTATCTATCCTAAGGGACTTCTGAAGGGTCATCAGAGAATGCAAACCTGTCCTGCCCTCAGGGGTGACTCCATCTGATGGATGAAGGTCAGGACGCCATGTTCACTCTCATCCCCTTGGCTAGTTGCGTTTCCACAGCCTGACATGGGGGGGGGGGGGGGGGTAGACACAGAGGTAGATGGAGTCTGGTCATCCATTACCGGAGGCTGCTGATCCACAGGACTTGCTGATGTTTGGTTGGCAAATCTCCTCTCATTTACAAATTTTGCTGCTAAGGCCGCTCTTCTTGCTTTTAGCTTTTCCAGTAATAAAGATTGCTTCTTCACCTTTTCCTCCATCTGCTGTAGCTCTGGCTTCATGGCCCATCGATTCTTACTCCAGGCCTGAGAGTATTTGGCTCTGAAGGATTTGTGTTCAGCTTTTAAAACTAAGATTTTCCACAGCTCTCCCAATAGCCAAGAATCGATCTATAATCTTCTGTCTGAAACAATCCACATCCTCACCAGGGCCTGGACCCACAGTCAGGTCCTCCACCTCACTAGGCCCTATGTCATCAGGGGGATCCCTCCCAGGGCCTCTCCCCCGAATCAGTCATGGTTCCTGGGCCAAGCTAGCAGGCAAGGCCCAGGCTTGAAAACGCTGGTTCTCAGGGAGAGCTCCTTCAGTGTGTCCTCCTCCTCCTTCCACTGACCACCAATGTGAGGAACGTTCTTCCCACTGACCACCAATCTGAGGAACGTTCTTCCCACTGACCACCAATGTGAGGAATGTTCTTCCCACTGACCACCAATGTGAGGAACGTTCTTCCAACTGACCACCAATGTGAGGAACGTTCTTCCAACTGACCACCAATGTGAGGAACGTTCTTCCAACTGACCACCAATGTGAGGAACGTTCTTCCAACTGACCACCAATGTGAGGAACGTTCTTCCAACTGACCACCAATGTGAGGAACGTTCTTCCAAACTGACCACCAATGTGAGGAACGTTCTTCTAACTGAACTGCTGTTCGTCACAGAGATGAGTGACGGAAAGATGGCTTCCATTCATCTCTATGCCCTAGGAGGACTGCAGCGACGTCATTACATCACTTTCGGTTCCAGTCCAATGTAAACAAGGCCTTTTTTTTTTTAAAGCACTAGATCAATGCTTCTTTTGAGCTAATGCTTTACATTGGAGGAGAGGAGAGATGTGGCGTCTTATTGACCTCAGATCTCTCCATAAAGAGGACCTGTCACTAATTATTCCTATCACAAGGGATGCATGCATTCCTTGTGATAGGAATAAAAGTGATTACAATTTTTGTTTTTAACGGGACAGTGTAAAAAAAAAAAAAAAAAAAAAGTAAAAAGAAGTTTAACGTGTCCGTGTAGTGGTGAACGCATCGTAGGCCACGCCCACATATGTAAACAGTGTTGAAATCACACGTGAGGTATCGCCACGAACATCAGACCAAAAACCAATAATTCTGGCACTAGACCTCCTCTGTATCTTTACACTGCTAGCCTGTAGAAATGTTTAAAGCGTCTCCCATGGAGATTTTTAAGTACCGTAGTTTGACGCCATTACACGAACATGCGCAGTTTTAAAGCATGACATATTGGGTATCTATTTACTCGCTGTAACATCATCTTTTATATTTTACAAAACAATTGTGGTACATATTGTGTTTTTTTTTTTTTAAATCATTAAAGTGTATTTTTTTCCAAAACAATTGCGTTTGAAAAATATATAAAATTTTTAAAAAACTGTCTATCTCAGTTCCGGTTTTCGGCCAAGTGCATTATGAATTTTCAGTTTCGGTTGCAGCACCAGAATTTTCATTTCCGTGTACCACTACTTTGTCTGAAAATTGCGTTTAAAAAACTGCTGCGCAAATACGCGTGACATAAAAAATTGCAGAGACTGCCATTTTATTCTCTAGGAGGGCCTCTGCTAAAAATATATATAGAGTTTGGGAGTTTTAAGTAATTTTCTAGCAAAAAAAAACTAATTTGTACACGAGAGAAGAGTCAGAACTAGCTCAGTAAGGAAGTGGCATAGTGAGGCATCTGCAGCCAATGACCAACACAAGAACAGGGCATGCTGGGACTATTAGTTCCACCACACCCAGGTCACCGTCACGTACTCGGACTGCTCTCGGTCTCCGCCCTTCCCGGTACTTGGCCCTCGAGGCACAGATTCTCCTCTGCTCATGATGTGGTCGGACCTCCATATGTAAACGAGGGACCCCAGACGCCATCTTTCTCCCGGGCAGGCGGCCCACTAGTTCTTAGGAGAGGGGCTTCTGCCTAAGTTCCGCCCAGTCGTTCCTGTTTACAAAATATCAAATAGAAAGTTTCCTGGGTGTCCGCACCCCCGGAGCCATCTTGTCGTAGACTCTCCAGAGATTCCAATAGGTTTTTGGTCTCCAGAAAAATGTCTACCTCATATCGATCCTGTTTTACAGCCCGGCACCGGAAGTAATCTTTTCGAATTTGATTGGATGGACGATACCATAATACAGAAGGCCATGGGGGGATGTTCGTTGATTGTAAACAGCTAAAAACAAATATATTTTGGCTATCAGTGCATGTATAGTGTAAGTGTAACATAGATGATTGAGATCGTATTGGCGGTGTCAGTGCTCAGAGCCGTGTGTGATTTCAGGGCGGAGTCATAAGATATGTCAGTGGTGATCCCCCTGTGGTGTGTTGGATGGAATCTCCCTCCTCCTGTGTGTCCCTGGCAGTGGGGAAGATGATGTGATGTGTAGGTGGTGTGGATCTGGGGGATGCTGGGAGGTGGGTTATCGGGGGCTGCTGTCACCCTGACACTCAGCAGTGCCAAGGACACCTTCCTGCGCTTGTCCCCGGAGCTCAGGGCACAGCTACACCTGGAGCAGGTAAGTGACAGCTCTGTCTGTGCCACCAATCACAGGTGTCCTCTGCTGTCACCTCACTGGCTGCTGTGTGGGCTCCTGTGTACTCCCTGATTGGCTGGTGTCACCTCACTGGCTGCTGTGTGGGCTCCTGTGTACTCCCTGATTGGCAGGTATCACCTCACTGGCTGCTGTGTGGGCTCCTGTGTGCTCCCTGATTGGCTAGTGTCACCTACAACACCCCAATACTAGAGCTGCCCCTCTGATGTGCTTGTCTCACATGGAGAGCCACCTTCACTACTATACCTACACTGCCCCCTGCTGTCTTCCAGTGTCACCCTACACCCATCTCCTCTACACCTGCGGGCAGGTGTCACCTAGCCAATCAATCAATCAATCAAACCAAAAAATAACAAACGTCTATACTTGCCTGCTGTGTGCAGTGGTTTTGCACAAAGCAGCCCAGATCCTCCTCTCTCGGGTCCCCCACAGGCTCTCTTAGCCCCTCCCTCCTGTCAGATGCCCCCACAGCAAGCAGCTTGCTATGGAGGCACCCGCTGTTCCGTGTGTCTATTCACAGATGGAGCCGTGGCTCAGCCCCACCCCCTCTCCTCATTGGCTCCCTGACTGTTATTGACAGCAGTGGGAGCCAATGGCTAACACTTCTGTCTCAGCCAATGAGAAGATGGAGTCCCGGAATAGCCGAGACTCCCGTGCTCATCGTTGAATCGAGAGGGGGCTTAGGTGAGTATAAGGGGGGAGAGGGCTGGGGGGATGCTGCACAGAAAAGGTTTTTTACCTTCATGCACAGAATGTATGAAAGTATAAACCTTCAGCCTTTACAACCACTATAATGTTCAAAGCACACTACAGTTGTCCAGCAACACAGATCCTGAACCGCCTCCCGCCTGCCATATAGTACAATGACAGGTGCAGGGCGGTTCTCTCATTCTGGGAGGACGTCATATGACGTCCTCCCACTCTAACCACGCATGCACGGCTCCGAGGAGCGCGCAGCGAGGCGATCGGCGGTGCGCTGTGACCCTCGGACACAGCGGATCACCGATCAACGGAAAGAGCCGAAGATGTCGGCTCGGTCATGTGATCAGCTGTGTCCAATCACAGCTGATCGCATGTAAATAGGGAAATGCCGGTTATCTGCATTTCTCTCCTCACGAGCTGTCACGCTGACAGAGGAGAGCCGGTAATCGGCATCCCTCAGAGGGGACATGTACACTGATCATCAGGGCACTGATGACCAGTGTGCCCTGATGATCTGTGTAGCCCCAGCAGTGCTAGCTGTCAGTGTCAGTGTCAGTGCCCATCCATGCCAGCTGCCAGTGCCCATCAATGCCACATTTCAGTGCCTACCAGTGCACATCAATGCCACATATCAGTGCCCATCTGAGCTGCCTTTCATTGTCACCCGTCAGTGCCACCAGTCAGTGCCACCTATCAGTGCCGCCTATCAGTGCCAGTCATGAGCTGCCTTTCAGTGCCATCATGATGTCAATGTGCTGCCTTTCAGTGCCCATCAGTGATGCCTATCAATGTTCATCAGTGCCACCTATCAGTGCCCATCACTGCAGCCTCATTAGCGCACATCAGTGAAGGAGAAAAATCACTTATTTACAAAATGTTATAACAAAAACTAAGAAAAAACTTCTTTTTTTTTTTTCAAAATTTTCAGTGGTTTTTGGTTTGTTTAAAAATTAAAAACCCAGAGGTGATTAAATACCACCAAAATAAAGCTCTATCTGTCACAAAAAAATGATAAAAATGTCATATGGGTACAGTGTTGCATGACCGCGCAATTGTCATTCAAAGTGCAACAGCGCTGGAAATTGGCCTGGGCAGGAAGGGGGTAGAAGTGCCCTGTAGGCAGGAAGGGAGTATACGTGCTCTGCAGGCTTGTGGTTAAAATGGTTGTAAACCTCAGACATGAAATATGAGCGAAGCATATTCCTCTATAGTGTGAAGTGAGTGGCCTCAGGTGATACATAGAGACGAAACATCCTCCTACATACATTGTACCTTTTTATCTGCAGTGTTCTCTTCTCTACAGCCATTCAGTGTCCAGAATTAATACAGCTTGTCTGAGCTTTCAGAAAACAGGGGTCGGAGAGCTTAAGTTACACTCTGCAGAGCTCAGTAAAAGCTGATTTAGGGAAGGGACACAGCACACAGGAACAGAGCTGAGGTTGTCAACCACAAGCTGTGTGCTGGAGCTCCCTCCCCTGTCACCATTTTTCGTTTGGTGTCAGGGAAAGTTGTCAGAAGTGCTGATAGCAGAAGAAAAAAGTCAGCAGATAGAAATGAAACTCAGTGCTCTGGAATGAGACAAGTACACACTATAGAGGGATATGCTTTGTTCATATTTCATGTCTGAGGTTTACCAACACTTTGAATCTTTATATTTAAAGCTTTTGTTACTGCTAATATGTGGCTGATGGGGGACTGGCAGGGAAGCAGACCTTCCATTTTTCCTGGAAGGTCCACATTAAAGTCTAACTGAAGAAAGTTTGTTTAGTTTTGGATAGGATAGGGAAGAGTTAACATTTCTGCCAGGTGTTTGTTTCTCTCTGTGGCCCCCATGGAGGTTTTCCTTTACTTCCTGTCCCTGTGACACCTGTAAAAGAATAGGGGATGGAATTGTCACCAGGACTGGTAGGCTCGAGCAATAATAAAGACGTTATTAGAAGATCCGTCTTGGCTCCTACCTTACTGAAAACAACCTTTTTGACCCCTTACAGTCTGGCAATCCACAGAAACTGCCCTACTAAAACTTACTAACGATTTACTGACTGCTAAAATCAATGGCCACTACTCCATACTCTCACTACTAGACCTGTCTGTGGCCCTTGATACTGCTGACCCACCACCAACCACTGCCTTGGTCTCTGAGATTCATCTCTCTCCTGGTTCTCCTCCTACGTGTCACAGCGCTCCTTCATTGTCACCTATAACTCTGTCTCCACTTCCTCGTTCTGTAGGGGTCCCTCGAGGCTTTGTTCTTGGACTCCTTCTCTTCTCCATCTACACCTCCTCTCTTGGTCACCTGATAACCTCCCATTACTTTAAATGCCATCTCTATGCCGATGACACCAAAATCTATCTCTCTACTCCTCACCTCACCCCTTCAGTCTCCTCACATTACTAACCTACTAAGTGACATATCGGCATGGATGTCACTCCACTTCCTCAAACTAAATTTCTCTAAAATATCTCTAAAACCAAGCTGATGATATTCCCTCCTCCATGACTTTTCCATCAAGATAAATAATACAACCATCAGTCCCTCCCCTCATGCCAGGGTACTTGGTGTAATCCTAGACCAGTGGTTCTTAACCTTTTTGGAGGTACTGAACCCCACCAGTTTCATATGCGCATTCACCGAACCCTTCTTAATTGTAAAAATAAAATATGATTTTTAAAATTCAAAACATAGGTATATATTTATACATTGGTGCACAAAATGAACAAAACCATTAAGAACAAAGAACAAAACCATTAAAACATGATTTTCACACAAAAACAAAATAATGAATATTTACCGCAAATCAGTGTGACTTCTGCTGTTGTCTTTCAGAGGCCAGTTCAGAAATGCGCGGCATTACCTTGGCAAGTGCCACTCTCATGTCATTTTCGCAACAAAGTCTGTTCCTTTTCTTCGTCTTTATGTCCAGCATCCTCGAAAAGGATTGCTCGCAAAGATATGTTGTAACAAACAGTATGAAAATTCATCCCCCATAGTAATTCATCCTCCATATAGTAATTCATCCCCCATCCCCCATAGTAATTCATCCCCCCTATAGTAATTCATCCCCCATAGTAATTCATCCCCCATAGTAATTCATCCCCCATATAGTAATTCATCCCCCATAGTAATTCATCCCCCATATAGTAATTCATCCCTCATAGTAATTCATCCCCCCTATAGTAATTCATCCCCCCTATAGTAATTCATCCCCCATATAGTAATTCATCCCCCATATTAATTCATCCCCATATAGTAGTAGTAAGTAAGTAGCAAGTAGTAAGCCAAGTCCCCCCTGTGTCAATTCACTTACCTTTGCTCCGCGCGTTCCTCTCGCCGTATTCCCCGCGCCGTTCCGGTTTTCAGGGCGGACTGTGAGAGGAACCTAGCTCCTCTCACGTTCGTCACGCTGCCCCGCCTACACACATCCTGACAGCCAATCACTGGCTATCAGGATGTGAGTGGCAGCGAGACTGGCCAATCATTGCATTTGAGCGCGCTGCCCTGGCTGTTTTTTTTTTGGATCACGCTGCAGAGTCCCTGCCGCCCGAGAGGAGGGAGGGGAGCGGGCGCCCGGCACACAAGAGCCGCATTAAAGCGTGTAAAGAGCCGCGGCTTGCCGACCACTGGGCTAAGCGATGTTGCGTGACCACCTGCAGCCAATGATGGACAAGCGGGGCATGTCATCACGAATCATATGAGTCGGGTGTGGGTCTTAACCTCCACCGAACCCGCGAGACTGACTCACCGAACCCCTGGGGTTCGATCGAACCCAGGTTAAGAACCACTGTCCTAGACTCTGACTATCCTTTCAGCCCCAAATCCTATTGCTGTCAAAAGCTCTAGAGTTCACCTCCGTAAAAAATCTCTAAAATGCGCCCCTTTTTATCCAATGAAACCACCAAGCTACTCATTCACTCCCTTGTTATCTCTCACATTGACTATTGCAACTCCCTTCTCACATGCTGACCTCTCCGTAGGCTATCCCCTCTTCAGTCTATCATGAATGCTGCTGCCAGGATCCTCTACCACACCAACCGGTGTCTGCCACCCCTCTCTGGCAATCCCTCTACTGGCTTCCAGTAGACCAGCGAATTAAATTCAAAATACTACAACAACTTACAAAACCATCCATCTCTCCCCCGAGCTACATCACCAATCTTGTCTCCAAGTATCACCCAAACTGTCCTCTCCTCTCATGATCTCCTGCTCTCAAGCTCCCTGGTCTCCTCCTCCCATGCTCGTCTCCAGGACTTTTCCAGAGCCT